TTGCAGCATGGATTGCTACAATATCTTTGTCCGCTTCAGCTTCTGCAATCAAAGCCTCTGCAAAGTATGTTGTGTAAGACTGTGTACTAACACTGGCTTTGAATTGCTTTCCGGTTGCAGGATCAAACTTGGCCACTCCTGCAAAAGCAAAAGCGAAAGCAAAACTACTTAAATGTCCTTGATGGATTGAGATAAGGCATATGCAGACCAAATCAGTGAGATCTTTTTAACTGCATTAAAGATTATCAGTTTTCCTTGCATAGCATCTTGAGCGAATGAGATGGATCAATTTTGGAAATAATTCAACGAAATTCCATATTTACCATGGTACTTGTCTGCAGCTTTCTCTGCATATGGATATCCCCGGCCTTTCTCAGAGATAAGGTGGATCAGGACAGGACCTGTTGTTTTGGTACTTTTAACCTCTTTGAGAATGGCAATAAGATCATCTATGTTGTGACCATCGACTGGACCAATATAATATAGTCCAAGCTCTTCAAATAGTGATGAACCAGTACCACTGATCATTCCACGAGCATACTCATCAACTTTTGCTGCCAGATTATGCACCGGACCACCAATTTGTTTGGTAACTCCCTGCAACAAACTCAAATGAAAGTTGAACCACATTCAGACTCACCAGATTTTAAAAATGTTGTGCTTTCTTTATGCTTAATTCTGTTCTGAATTCAGATTACTTACTTTGGCAACCTCTCTTAATTCTCTGAGTGGCCTGTTTGATTGCAACCTACTGAGAGCACTACTCAAAGCTCCTACTGGAGGTATGGGTCCATCAAGACTGGCAGTAGGTAACGAAACCTGTTTATTGTCATTCAGAATTATAATCATGTCAGAATCGAGGTACCCAGCGTTGTTCATGGCTTCGTAAGCTTGCCCTGCTGTCATAGCACCATCACCTATTACAGCAACCACATGATTATTTCCACCCTTTAGATCCCTTCCCACCGCCATCCCTGTGTGTTGAGTAACATCCCAAAGGTTAAAACCAAAGAGAGAAATCAACGTTGTGATCTAAGAATTTTAATCGAGACTGTAACTTTAGAAATTAAATAGAAGTCAATTGGATCATTCATATATAGAAAAGGCCAGTGTGATTGTATGACTGATAATATAATAAACATTTTCCATAACATAAGATGCAAGTGTATCATCAAGATCCCACAAACAGTTACACAAAAATATTGTCAAAGGAAGCTGATTTCTTTCATTTACACAATAATAGAATTATTCTTAAACAGGTTTCTAATTAGTTCTATAAGAAACTGTCTTCAATAAGATAAGGAAAGATGTTAAATGGAAATCTTTTAGCTCAGATCACAATTCTAGATTCTAATCATAAAATCATTTTATAACCAAAACAAGAATACCGTTAAGGTCAAAAAAGCTTTCAAAACGGTGCAGAAGAAGAAATTACCCAAGCCTGCTGAGATAGTGGTAGAACTGTGACCAGTGCCAAAGCAATCATATTCACTCTCAGAGCGCTTAGTGAAGCCAGCTAACCCATTTGTCTGCCTCATAGTGTGCATCTTATCTCTCCTCCCAGTCAAGATTTTGTGTGGGTACGACTACATAAATCAAAACAAAAACTTACAATCAAATATGGAAAATTCGTAGGATCAATATGTTCGCAAGCTTGAGGAACCAAAGAAGATGAGATTGAAACCTGATGACCAACATCCCATAAGATCCTATCTTGAGGAGTATTGAAGACATAATGAAGAGCCACAGTGAGCTCCACAACACCAAGGCTTGAGCCCAGGTGACCTCCAGTTTTAGAAACATTGAAGATGACATCAGACCTCAGCTCATCTGCTAGCTGTTTAAGCTCCTGAATTCACAATCAGCATAAGAAAAAAAGATCAAATTAAAGCTATGCAAAGATTTGAAGCTCTTCCGGATATAAAAATTAAAAAAGATATTCAAAAAAGTATCAGTTAGTAATAGGCCTTCGGATATGTACCTTGACAGAAAGATTTTTCATGTGAATTGGATAGTTTATGGTGTCCAAGAGAGGAGTGGGTGGTCTCTGTGAGTGATACTCCCCACTCTCTGACAGTGACGCACAAATCCCAGCTGGCTTTTTCCTCATGACCTGTGTGTTCCAGATGAGAACAAAAAAGCCCTTATCTTTCAGCAAAAACTTTTGTTCTGTTCAGTTTTTCAGAGGTGCTGAATTATGAAATTGACATAGTAAACAAAACCCAGTTCCTCCTTAAATCATTTCAGCCATGCAATGAGTTCCTCTTCTTAAATTGTACAAGAAAGATGCAGACTTTCTAACCTGATTGAGCTTGTGCTGAGATTGGCATGGCAGAACTGTTCCCCAAGAGAAATGGGAATACAACAAAGAGGTGGATTTCTGAGCATCTGAATGTGTTGTTGGCCGGTTGATATGTGCAGGAAATGAGAATGTACAAAGAGCCATTGCATGTAGAAGAACTTCAAGGAGAGCTGAACAACTTCAAAATTGTAATTAGAAGTGAAATGAAGAAGAACCCAGAAAAGGGTTATTAAGAAATTCAGGCCTGAGAGTTTTCCCACCGAGAGAAGTGCGGGGTGAAAATGGTGGTAGTGTCTGTGCGGAATTGAATAAATAAATAGAGAGAGAGAGAGAGAGAGAGAGAGAGAGAGAGAGAGGACTGAAATACGCGTTAGTGTGAATAATGAGTGGCTGATGGTGAAATAGTGTCCACGACTCAATGGAAATTAAGAGCTTTCAAAGACCAAAAATGGTCTAAACAGCTTAAACTACTTTTCATATTCATACTTGTAATTTTTTTCACCAGCACCAATGTATCTGGATCAAGGTGTGCATGTGCTCATTCATTGGGCCACGTCACTAGAAATCACAGAAAGATAGGTTGATGATAGATATGATACAGCAATACACAAAAAGACATTTTCCAATTGGTGGTCACTCACTGACGTGGCAGTCGCATTATTTTGCAACGTCATCCATTTTAATTTAATAAATTTATATTAATATATTACTATCTTGAAAATGAAAACTGCCCATTACTGGTCCCCAACAGCTATCTAACAATAAAATTTGTGTAATGCCGTTATATTAAAGAGGAAGGTTAGGGTCAGTCGCAACGAATTTGTGGAAAATACCCTTATATTATAGATTAATGCTAAACTCAATTGTTACGTAAGTGTTTTTTAGTCACAACGAATTTTAAAAAAATACCGTTATATTATAGATAAATGCTAGACTGAGTTGTTCACGTGACTATTATCTAGTATCTCAACGAACATATTTAATAAAAGTTGAAATAAGATCACTATGCGACATATTAGCATTACGATGTGGTACCACAATTCAATACAAATTGTTATCTTACACGATCCCAAATCAAAGGGATCACAACACCACCACCCACCGCCACGCTGCACGGCCACTGCAATGCCACACAGCTACAATCCCAAGCCCTAGATGTTTATGTGCAATTGGGTTTTATGGTGTTGGAAGATTTCTGTCGCCAAGCCGAAGACAATAATCAAACTCGAGTGTACGACACACACAAACCTAATCCATATATGCTCTAACATATTGAATTTAAGGTAGGAATTTGAGCGTCTCTGTTTAATGCCTTCAATGGGATCCCTTTTTTTTTCTTTTTTTTTTGGGTTACAACTTACAAGGAGGGCCGAAGCCCAAGAAAAATCAGGGGAAAAAAAAATACCACCGGGACAATCCAAGCAGTGTTCAGCCCAAGAGAATCAGTAATTGGATGTAGACAGGTAGGTATCAAAAATGCAGTTTTGGCTGCTTCTACACGCATGTTAGATACGGATAAGGTATCAGAAGCGTGTCTGTTCTTTCGGATCATTTTATCATGGAAATTTACTGAACGTTTTAGTCTAAATTACTCTAATTTAATCTAATTTATAGAAAGGCGAATTAAAATTTGGATGCAAGAGCACGAGCTCACTGCTCTGACTAAGGCTAACCAACATCTGCTTACACCTTGATGAAACTATATTATTATAATAATTTACAACACATTGCTATTTGTTACCATTATATACTTGGCCTGCAAAATTCATTAAAAAAACTAAGGTGAAAATTGTTTGTTGAAAAAAGGCTTCAACTATTCCAAGAGCAATAAGAGAACGAAAAAATATCAGCCAATTGAGAAGATAACAAAATGACATTATCAATTGAGGGCCCATTCGTTAAAATAACCCATCACGATTTCACCCAAATCAAATTTGGGAAATTCACTATTATACTCAATATAATAGCACAAATTATAAAATAAAAGAACTATATGAAATGGACTTTAGAAACACACCCAAAGTCTATTTACAACATAACAAAAAGACTTTTAACTTATTTTAATTTACAAAACTGTCATTGATTTCTTAAAACAAACCCAACCCCAAAACACTCAATAGGGCATCAAAGTAATTTAATAATCAAAATTAAATTCAATATTGCCAGCTGTTTTTTCTTTTGGTTTGTTTATAGAAATTAAATTGTGTAGAGTTTATCTATATTATTAGTGCTAAAAATGGGTATAAGACTAAATATCTCATCAAATTTTCCATGTATTAGCCAACTTTTTTTTTCACCCAAACCTAATCAACTTCGGTTGATGAAGCTCCAACACTTAAGTCTGGCCAAAAAACAAAAAAAAACTCTGAAGACTGGAGCCCAAAATCAAAAACCTTGAGACCCAGAACACAACTCAAATTCAAACAACTAGCAACTTAGGTCTGAAATAGGCAAAGATCATATGGTCATGTAGAAGACAAAGGGGAGATAGCATGATGATTTTACAAAAAAAGAAACCACATCATATTAACTCTTAATAAAAGCTCCTCAACATTTCAATCAACCATGTTTTGGAACAGCATAAGACTAGTTGAATGGCCAAACAAAATTTGAACTTATTATACTTCAGATAGGGAAAGCACGAACTTTCATCAAGATAAAATAGACACCACCAATAACGACTGCATATTCTTAGGAGTTAGGTCTCTACCTTAAAACAAAGTGTCTACAACAGAAAGAAAAACAAGGTGGGGTAATGAAATCATATATATTGGACAGACAGGTTGCTCATTTCATTTTTGCCTCCGTAAATAGAACATGACGATTTACCCGAGGGTCAAATTTTCGGAACTCAAGCTTCTCTGTCACCTTAGTAGGCTTCCTCTTGACATAGAAAAATCCGGTGCCAGCAGCTGAGACAAGTCGGATGAAAACGGTAGCCTTCTTCTTTTTGTCACCCATTCCTTAATTCAAGCAAGAGAAAGAGAGAACCAATCAAAAGTAACAGAAAAAGGCATGTTTCACTACACAATAAGGGTGGGCAGATAAATATGCGTTAAACTAAAGATGTGCATCTGCAGGAAACATGAAAATTACTAAATAGGTATTGGTCTTCACATGACCTTCAATATTGCCCCCAACAGAAAGGAAAAATTAGTCAAGATGAAGAACAACAACCATCTGTAATCCAAATTCATTTCAAGATTTCAGAACAACTTATAATGAGAGTAAGTAATCCTAGTACAGAAAACCCATCACAACTCACAGGGCCACCATACTTGCAGGTTTAAATTTATGCCCTAAAAGTGAAATTCTTAAGGGAGGCCACATAGGTATAGAATCAATCAAGAAAGCTCTTTGCAACTGAGAAGAACAAAAACTTTGAAAACCCACTTAAAATCCATATATTATCTACATGTGCATATTAAACTAACATCTTCAACACGCCTGATACAAAAAAGAAAACCCAAATCATACTTGCCCTAAAGATAAGATATTATTCATTGAAAACCCAAAAAAAAGAATCTAATCCTTTCCATCTATCCATAATCCATCTCCATTATTACAAGCCTCCAACCATTCCCAGTTCAAAACAAACAAACAAGTAAAATAACAACAACAGCAACAAATAGGCAGATAATGGAAATCTTTTCGTTAGAAATGGTTGAGAGAATTGAGTACTTACTGTTCAAACCTTTGTAGTTGTCAGAGAGGAGGAAGCCGAAATAGAGAGGAGTATGATGCAGAGAGTTGAGAGAAGAAAAGAGCCCTAACCAAAACGAAACGCGGCCGTTTTAATGGACACCATTTGTATCAAAGGACTGAAATACCCTTACCTTTTTGTTTTTGGTCCTCCAACTCCTGAGTCAGCTAAGCGCTGGTTTGTGTTTCTTATCACCATAACCTAACACTCTCATTTCCTCTCTCCACTTCTCTCACTCAGCTGAGGAAACTCATTGAAACAGAGAAACCGATAGGAAAGAGAAGAAAAGGTACGGAATTTACCAATTCTACGCTTTCTTTCTCAATTCAATTTCTCGAAATTCACGTTGTTCATTTCAAATTTTCGATCTTTTATTTTTATCAGAATCGATCGGTGGAAGTGAAGATGGCCAGCGCAGTGGACGCAGCAGGAGATCCAATCCCAACATCGGCAGTTCTGACGGCGGCGTCGAAGCACATTCAGTTCCAGTGCCAAGCCGAGAACGTGGCTTTTCTCAAGTGCAAGAAGAAAGATCCGAACCCTGAGAAGTGTCTCGACAAAGGTCGCCAAGTCACTCGATGCGTTCTTAGCCTGTAAGTCAATTCAAATTCGCTTCCCTTTTCATTTCCCTGAGATTCTTATGCTTCGGTTTTATGTCGACCCTTTTGGAATTCAAATGTTTTTGTGTTGTGGTTTTTTTCTGATTTGGGACTTTGGTTGCTCCAATGAGCTGAATGTGGGTTCTGGGTTGTAGAGAATTCTCAAACTTGTGTTATTGCAATGGAAATGTTAAATGTGTGCATCTATGTTTATACTTTATACAATCGCATGACCGTCTATCGAAGCAAATATTTAGAGCTATGCCACAATTTATGAGGTCTAGCTGACTGCTTTTGTATTTGAAGCTATGCCACAATTTGTGCTTACATGTTCATGCTCTTCATTTGTTAATTTTACAGCTGAGTCTACTGCATGTAAACACATCCCCCGTTCTTTATTACACTCAATTCATACCTTGCTTATTGGTACCTAGATTTTAGAACTTGTGAGAGCATAAATCTAGGTGTTACTTACTAGGAGGCTATCGCTAGCCCTTCTTTTCGTTGTATCAACTTCATAAAGTTCATTGGCAGCAGATTTCAGAATCCTTGTTCCAAACCTTGTTAATTGTGACCTTACTCCAGGCTTAGAAATAAAAAACCACTTCGGCGTAGAACACTGATGGTGAATGATAATGTTGTATATTGTCCTATATTGTTTCTATTATGAAGTATTCAACCTACCCAGATGGTAGAATGAAACCGGATTTTATGACATTATAGTATCCTTTTGGTGAATGGCTTAGTTGGTTTTCTTTTACATTCTGGACCCTATATTCATTTCTTTCCAATTAACATTTGTTCATTGCTCGGTGATATCTGTAGACATCACGAGGTTGTCATTCTCTACATATTAGCAACTTGCATGACTTATTCAATGGCCTAGAACCAGTAGAAAAGCCTAAACCCAATTAATAGGTTCCAGGCAAAAACGGAAAAAACCATAATACCATTGACTTTAAGTTCAGGTGAGTATTTCCCCAAACATGAATAAGGAAAATCCCACTGGTCTTCTATTTGTATCAGACATCCTAAGACTTTTGCTTAGTACTATAAGGGCTTGTTTGGTATGGTAGGAAGGACTAGACTAGACTAGAAAAATGACTACATTTCATGTGCATTGAAGGGATAATATGGATATATTGCCTAACTTCGAGGAAAAATAGGGACTATCTATAAGAGGTTGATGACTAAAATTTATCCCCCCTAATCCCCTTGAAATTGGTGGGATTATGAGGGATAAGTTTTAGTCATCAACCTCTTATGAATAGTCCTCCTTCATCCTCCAAGTTAGACAACAATATTCATATTATGCCTTGATCGCACATGAAATGTAGGCATTTTGCTAGTCTAGTCTAGTCCAGTCCTCCCTAACAAACGAGGCCTAAGATATTATATAGAGTCTCACTAACAGGCTTTGAGTGGACCAATTTTCAAGTATCATCATTATCTTTTCGTTCTCCTCTCACAACTTTTGAAATATGCATCTTTTTATCTGCACCAAGTCAGATTTGGAATTTTTTGTGATTTAATCATCCAGTTAATTTCATGATGTCTATGAAACCTTGACCAACAATTAGATTGGTAACCAATTCATCAACTTTACCACCTAATTCATCGAGAAATTTGAATCAGTTTTAGTTCTCTCATCAAACGTGCAGATGTACACACAATGAGAGGTATGCTATTTTTGAAGGGGTGAGAAGAAAGTCATATTCCTTGTTACCCTTCTAAACACGGCATTTTTTCCTGCAGGTTGAAAGATCTTCATCAGAGGTGCACGAAAGAGATGGATGCTTATGTTGGATGCATGTATTACAATACAAATGAATTTGAATTATGTCGCAAAGAGCAAGATGAATTTGAGAAAAAATGCCCATTGGCATGAGGACATGCATGCCTTTTTATCCCACCATGATCACAATAAGATGGGCAGCTTGCAATGATCAGATATCGTTGCGTACAATTCGAATTCATCTTGGTTTTAGATCTGAGCTATTTTCCTATTTGTATGCCCAAATTTCGCCCTTTTGAAGCATGTTTGATTACTTCTATCGCAGTTGGAGTTGTTGTACCTTGCATCCATTGTAAAGGCATAATGGGATTTCATTAAGCAAATTGCAGAAATGGCACCTTTTTTGGTTCCTGAACATCTTTTGCTTGGAAAAACATAACTTTCAGGTTGAGTTATTCGACCATAAAACCCCAGAGTAATTGAGTCATTTAGATTGATTCATGGTTCCGTTGGGTCTCAAGCTCAACCCTATCCCTCCTTGGTAGTGCAATTCGATATAAGCAACATATTTTTTTGTTGGGTTTATATGATTCACTTTGAACTTCAAAGACAAAAAGGCACTCATGTAAACATGTATTGTAATTGCCACACCAGACATTTCTCGGAGGCATTTCTACTTTCTACAAATCACAATTTAACACACGCAAAAATAAAGATTTTATGCGAGTTGCCACCTCTTAGTAACATTCCCCAACCAAGTAAGGCGTGGAATGAACAAGAGAGGCTGGCAATGGCTTATGCCACCCAAAGTGTAAGGTTACAACAAAACAAGAAGGAAAATGGGGGAAAACGCATGCGGGCATTCAACCGTAAATTATGCACATGGAATTTCTTACCCAGCAGAATTTTGCACTCCAGAAAAAGATTATTATCAACTAAAGCAACCGTAAAACTCACATTAAGCTCGTTCAAAAATTACACTTCCCACTTGACTAACATGTGGATGGTATAAATCCATTAGACAAAAACTGATATGGTCCAAAAGTCATATTTACCAAACACGTCCATGACCTCTTCCAGAATACTAAGCATATCATCCAGTTAACTAGTAATGCTCATAGTAGACTTTCAAGCAGCAACACCACCAGGTGATGCAAATTCACAGCAATGTAAACATGACGGGCATCAGCGAGGACTGCACAGCAAAGAGTTTTGTAGAAATCATCAACACAAGTTCAATTAGCCAATAATGAAGAATCGTAGGATGTCAGGATGACTCCACATAAAAAATTGTAGAAATTATCACCTAAATAGGATCACACCCACAAGTCAATTCAAGAGAACCTCCTTAATCAACAGCCGCATTACGCAAGCACATTACCATCCATTCTAATAGGAATCAAAATTGAAAGTATTTTTTAATTGGTCTAACAAACAGATTCAGCATTAAAAGAAAGGAAAAGGCAAAACTTTCACCATCATCTAATGACTAGCAGAAAGCCCCAAGTAATTGACAGCAGCGAACAAATTATAGAACTAATTTACCGATTCATAAGAATAAAGCCAACCCAAAAATAAAAGATAATAACTTGGAGGTAAATATTGTTTCCATACAAGAAAAATTTTAAATAGAAAAAGGAACAAAAATCCATTTGCAGGGTATCTCTCTCATGCAATATGAGATATTTCCCCTAAATTTAAGACCATACTCGGCCCCACTTTGGACAGCTAAGCTTATTATGGCTGGAAATTATGTATTCAATATATGAGTGCAGAATGGAAGAGGCATCTACCTGTAGGATCGCGAACGAGACCTTGATGGACTGCGACTGTTACCCCTCAGACTCCTTGATCTGCTGGGTGCATAGTCTCTTTCATCATGAGGACTCCGACCATTCTCGCGCGGACTTGGGGACCTCCTGTAGTCTCTTCCATCACGTGGTGAAGGAGATCGTGAAACTGATCTAGATTGCACTGGCGAACGATAATCATCCCTAGCCCCACGGTCCCTTTCAATGACAAATATACTTATTTTATTTTTTGAAAAAAATTATTGGTAATGCAACAAGAGAATAAGATAAGATATGTTCTATGTGGATAAGAGATACCAATTAAAACCATCTCCATTCACCAAAAAGTGAGAAAAGCTTCCCCTATTCATAAGCTAATAGAAGTGCTCAAGCAAAGTAATTTTGGCACAGGTCAACAATTGAAAGTTAATTATATGTTTTTAGATAACACAATGCTACTTACATCCTCTTCAAAATCTAGTTGATCAAAATATGACCTTTACCTGAACCTTTTCAGGGTTCTGAACAAAAAATATAACACTCGGTCCAAATACTCAGAGTTAGGCTAGTACTGGTTGATCAGCATCTGAAACTTCATAGCTCACTTTGCCCCAACTTTCTAATACCAGATAATATCTTTTCCTTCAACAATGTCACCATACTCTACCGGTAAAAACTTTGGATGGCTTCGTTTCTTTGAAGATGATTTCTTTCTTTGGCCAACTATAAGCTCTATATTCTTTCTTTACTGGATCGTATATGCAAAACAAGATATCAAACTTAACAAATTTTCTTATTAAAAACTTACTTTAACAGTTAATATAAGAAGGAAAAATAAATAAATGATCCCAATCATCTCTAACACCAACTTTAGCTTGTCAGTTCAGTCAGTCGTAGAAAGTCTCACAAACCGAAGTCATAAGAATAGGAAACCCAATGCCATTCGTAGATGAATGTTGATGATGGATATGGATAATACTTATGGAGAGGCTTTGGTAGAAAGGTAAAGAAGTTGCCCATCACTTTTATGATCACTTTTCTCATTAAACTTTATTAATCCAGATGTCTTTAAAGTCTCCTTTTTCACTTTAATATCTGCACAAACAAGGCCACCAGCTGATATTATACAATTCATTGGACACATGATGCATGCAAGAGACGAAGTCTCTGTACCTAAAGAGTTCTCATTCTGCAATTTCAGTAAAGAAGCTCCTATAATTACCATAAAATTAGTTTACAAAGTATGTCAAAGGAGATACAGGTATGTGAACATAAAACGGAGTTCGGAAAATTTTCAATCAGGATGCAATCTCTCTTTTTCACTTCTAACAGATAATATGAAGTACAAGAAAACTGATATTAGGAAGCAAGAAACACAGACACAAATACCACCAAACTGCAAATACATATCTAATTTTGGTTTCAATCAAACTACATTAATGACCAAAAAAAATATGGTTCAAACTCAGCAAAAAATTAAGATGGAGAGATATAGAATCCTCATCAACAAATTCAGCAATACAAGCTCCAACACAAAGCTGAATAGACTTGTTTGTTTTTTGTTCCCTATTGCCTACACACACCAACGGCATGCCATATGATGAAGAAGCCACCGTTTACTCATCCATGAAAACTAGCATTGAAAACCTATAACTATTGATCAAATTTAAAAATAGCATATGGCAACTTCTAGAGATAAGGTACAGACCTTGAGTCACGCATAACAGGTGACGGTGACCGCGAGTAAGCTGTGACCAAACAATTAAGATGATAGTTTAGCAGAAAAACAGAGGGAACAGAATCATTTCATAAAGGACGTCAGATAAAAAGAAGCCTTGTTTGCAATTCAACAAATGCCAAGTGAAAGTTCAAACTGACAACGATATTGCCGTCTTGGGGACCTCGGTGGAGTTCTCCTTCTGGAGCTTCCTCCATACCGACCACTGCTGATAAATTTGGAAACAAAAAAAAATCAACATTTATGAAATGAATATCTTATTTCACTTAGGGAGACATGAAATGATGGGTGGTATTGAAGCAAAATGCAGTGTACCTTACGCGAGTAGTTGTACGCATTTCTTGGGGAGTTTTTCTATTCTCCTCAGCAAACACAATTCTTATCTCACGTCCACCAATAACTGAATGGTTCAGTTGTTGCTTTGCTTCAGCCGCATCCTCCGCATAACGGTACTTCACAAACCCAAAGCCCCGTGGCTCCCTGTATATTCAAATAGGAACAGCTTAATTAAATAACTTAATAGTGGCATCATGTCTCATATGGTACAAGTGTCTGAATTATATCCACTTTTAAAGAATTATCTATTCAAGGAGTTCAACTTTTACACCAAAGATTCATTGGAGAAGAAGAATTGCATTACATCTCTAGCATAATCCACAGTATAACAATAAAAAAAGGGCATACCCGGTGTAGTAATTCTTAGGAAGATACACATCCTTCACTGGGCCATATCGCTCAAATGGGATCCTAAGATCTTCTGGCCTGCAAAAACTTAGATAAACCATAAATTATTTTGTAAAAGATAATTATAACAAGAAGAAACTTACAGGTATAGTTGTGGAAAAATTGATGTATCCGTAATTTGTGGTTAAAAGGACTCACCATAATCATAATATACTCAATTTGTTGAAGGATTATTTCTATATTCATGTAAAATCTAGTTATTGTTATATAATATACTGGTATTTGTCAGAACTGCGAATATATGTGTATATTATAAAACACAAACACACAGAGAAACATTCACTCCTCTGTCCACATTTCATACGCATAAATAGACAATTATAGCATGAACAATTACAAAAACAAAACCAATAATTCATTACTAGCACCCAAATTTAGTCCCACATTTGAAGAATAAACTACATAACATATAAAGCCAACAAGATAACTAATCCTGAATAAACAAAGCCAAATATTCATAAATACGAAAATATATATAAACATATGAACACACAAATGCATTCATATGCATTCGTAGGGATGGAAAGAGAGACCTGGCGTCGAGAGGAAGATTTCGAACGAGCAGGCCAGAAGGAGCGGGTGAGCGACGGTCTCTGTAAGACCTGCTTTCACGGTAGCGATCACGAGGGTCGTCGTCGTATCGCTTGCGTCCACGTGGCGGAGTCCGGCTGCGTCGACGAGGGCTGTAGCTTCTGCTTCGGCTTCTGTACCTGGCCATTGCTGCAGCTACTGTTTGAACCCCAAGCAAGCAAGCACGCAAAACCCTAACCCTAGCCCCTAGTGAGAGAGGAGGAAACAAGGGAGCAAAGCAAGCGCTTGCTGTTTTGAGTTGTGTGTGTGGGTTTCGAAGTTTCGGATTTGGAGGGACGAATAGCGTGCGGTGCACATACCGACTTAATGATGAGCGCTCTTCAATGACCCTTTTTTTCTTTTTTCTTTTTTCTTTTTCGAGATTGTAATTAGTAATAGTAAGCTGGCCCAATTATAAATCCTAAGGCCCAACCCAACCCAAACCTTTTATTTTCCTTTTTTGTTTGGGGGTTTTTGTTTTGGTATGAACCCAATCAATTTTAATTGTACTAGTATTAAGCTGGCCCAATATGCCTCATAAATATTCTATTACTAACATAGTCGATTATTATAATATATTAAAATTATTGCCTAAAATAAATAAATAAATATATATATATCAAAATCACTGACCTCATTAATATACAAAAACACCACCAAAATTCATAAAATACTTATGTTGACCTTAAAAAAAAGTGTTGTTAAACGAACCCTAAATTAACTGAGTACGTCATATGATCTAAGTACATCCTAATATTTTAATTAAAATGTAAAATTAACTAAGTACACTGTATTTAACTACCAAAAATACCCTTGGTGCACCCTAATACACTCTATCACGCAACATCCTAAACTAGGTTTCTCTTTTTACATGAATTCGTGATGTCTAAAAATTTTAGGTTTGCATATCTGACTAATAAAACTAAAATCATAAACCAAGAAGCAGCAAACCCAATTTGTTCGCAAAAAGCCCCATCAAAATTCAGTTTTTAAAAACCCACGGGGGTCTACCCCATTTTACTGTTGCACGAGCTAGGACTAAGGGTGGCATTTTAGACCGAAAAACTGAAAAATCGTAAAAATCAACCGACAATTTACCGCAATAGAACCTCAATTGCGGGAAACCGAACCACATTTGCGGTTGCGATTGCGGTATTTAATTTTCGAAACTTGCGGTTACCGCAAACCTCAACTATATTAAAATATATATATATTTGCATTTTGTAGATAGCATTGGTGCTCAAACAACACAACGGGGTCCTTCAAATCCACTCACCACCACCAACACTTGAGTTTGTAACTTAAGTTTGTAACATTTGTGCATTGCATTTTCCTTTTAGTTTGTAATTTTAATTAACTTTGAATTGGATTTTTCCTTTGTGTTGTAACTTTAATTCATTTTACATTGGATTTCCCTTTTGGTTTGTAACTTTAAAGGATTTGGAATTGGAATGCTTGAGAAGTTGAGGTTGTGAATGCTTGAGAAGTTTAACTTTAATTGGAATGCTTGGAATTGTAACTTTAATTTTCTTTAGGTTGTGAATGCTTGAGAAGTTGAAGAGGTTGTGAATTTATATATGTTTGAGAAGTTGAGGTTGTGAATTTATTTATTTAGGTTGTGAATTTATATTTTTGGGTTAAAGTATGCTTGAACTCAAAATGCTTTAAAAGAAGCATCAAAATTAGGCTTAAAATGTGAAAGATTGAATTTTTATGACACAAAATAACTTGCGGTTTTAAACCCCTAATTCACGATAACAGGCCGCTTACCGCATTAAACCACAAAAAGCAGTCAGTTTGCGGTTTCAAAAATCACCATACCGCAAATAGTCGGTCGATTTGCGGTTTGGGCAAAAATTCGAGGTTACCGAACCGTAACCATCCCTAACTAGGACTACACCCTTAGGAAAGTTGTGCTCCTGGTATTGGTGCAAGACTTGCCTAGCACAACTAACCACTTCCAACATCCTACGTCGTTTGCCTGTCCATAAATCAGAATTCCTCTCATTCCAGATTGTCCACAACTCCATCAAAACTTGTTCTACAAACCCTTTAGATGAGTCACCAAACAGTTGCACAAGCCAACATTTAAAATTCAGGTGGGCACTATTTTGTAAAAGCCTCCACCATGGACTAGTTTCCCAAAAAGTAGAAACAAAATCACATGAAATGAAGACGTGATGTAAATCTTCTAAAGCAATCCCCAAAAAAAAAAAAAATTTTTTGGTCATTTTATATTAGAGTGAATTTGTAATTCAATAAATACTTTGATAGTACGGTGTACACAATTAATTTTAGGGTTCATTAGCAACACTCTAAAAAATTATATTTTAAATTTTATATAAAAAATAAAAACATTCATGTCACTAGCCCCTTTGTGCCAACTGGTTTTTCATTTTTATTTTTTATTTTAGAATTAAAAAAGTTATTGAATAGTTGTGTTCTATAAAAATATGACCCATAATCTGATTTTGTTTTAAATTTTAAAATTTTAAAATATAAAAAAGTATGAGTTTACCATATTATCCTCATTTAATGAATAATTTCAATTCTTAATGTTTCCATTAACCAATGTTTCACCATTATGTGTCTTTTGCTTTATATATACTAGCTTTGACACACGTGTGTAGTGAAGTGGTTTTTTTTTTTTTTTTTTTTTTTTTATTAAAAAAGATTATGGGTAGTTGTGTTTCATAACAATAGGACTCATTATATGATTTTGTTTTAAATTTAATTTTTTAAATATGAAAACTGTAAATTTACCATATTAACCTAATTTAATTAATAACTTCAATTCTTACAAAGGGTAATGATTGTAACCCTTTTGTGGGTAGTGGTTTTAACCCCTTTGTGGGTAGTTGGAGTGGTCCTTGTGGCTTTTGTATTTGTATTTCTCTGACCAAATGAATCTTCGATTTCCCTTTCTCTAAGAAAATTTATGGAGATTTATTTTTAAACGGGACCTAAATATAAATTAAAAAATTAAAAAATGCCAAAAGATAGCATATGATTTGCAACCTAGAAAGGTAGAATATGCCTTGTTTATCATTGCATTTCTTAGTACTGGGCTGGTGGGGTCGTTAGCTCAACCTCTTCTTATTAAGTCTAATCTTCTATTATCGATTGAGTTGAATCCGTTGATGATGATATGAAAGAAATGCATGTGTCCTCACCCATTCACCCCGTAGATTTGGTAGCCACTCAGCCTCAAACGCATCTAACTCACCAGCTCACGAAGCTTTCCACTCCCATTCCAAACGCATCTTAATCAATATAAAAAGAAGATTCTAGCCCTACAAATGAGTATTGCAATTTAGGAGTTTTATGTTTAAAAGCTTAATAAAAGAATTAGGAGCTTGTAAATCTAGTGATCAAAGAGTACTTGTTGAGTGTTTGCCATGTCAACTATCCTAATAAGGTGACATTGTACATGGTTGACTATTGGGTTGACATTCTAACTATGTAGTGGTATATGTGGCAGTAGGATGATTTGAGCTATAAACAAAAAACAATCATATCCAATTGAGTTTATATTTTGTAAAATGAGAATATACCACATGCATTGTAGATTTATATTAATAAATTATTAAAAGATAACAAATACGAGAACTTTGGAGCTCAGAACTCTATATATGAAACACCACACATTTAATAAAATATAATTAAAATAATTACCCCAACAAAAAAACAAATATATATATATATATCTCTCTCTCTTGCAGCCGAAATCATTGACCTAATCCTATAGAAAGACCACCTCACAAAAATAATGAAATGCATAACACTATTGACCTTAAGAAAAGACATTAAAAAATAACAACACGTCATAATCAGAAGCACTAAATTAAAAATCAATAATCAACTTGTTTACATTGATGCATCGTCATTGTTGATTAACACGGCATTAACCAATTAGCACATGGGGAGAGGAATCTTTAAAATGGGGTTTTGAATAAATATCTCAATCTTGTATCCCACACATGAAAAGTGTGTCACCCTTTTTGGCTTTTGATTCATCATTCATATCGAGGAAGAAAAGAAGTTCCATTGTTGTTCTTTTTAAGTGAAATGACTAAAAGCGTTTTTTTAAAATAAAAAAAAAGTTTCTATTAAGTGGCGGAGCTATTCCTAGGCCCCTGGCTCCTTCAAATTTTGATATCTCCTCTATTATATTATATATGACATATAGAGTTTGTAATAAAACAACTTATAATTTAAGTTAAAATTTCACATAAAACAAATTAGACATTACTAAATTATAAATATTTAGCTCAAAACATGTAACTAATGAATACTTATGTACTTGTATTTTCTACTTCGGCTCCCTCAACTTTACAATTCAAGCTCTGCTCCTGTTTCTATTAGCATTTAGCATAAAAATGTCACTTTTAATAACAAAAGCACTATAAATTAAATTATTTCACCTAAAAGCAGTCTCAAACATGTCATGAATCATACATAAACAAACAAACAAACACTAAAGATCATTAATTAAATTTTATAAAACTATAAAAATAAATATAAAAAATAAGAAAATACCCATAATAATTTTTTATGTTTTTTTGTTGGTGTGAAAAATAGGTAAGGTTAAGACAAAAAAAATATCGGAAAAGTAGCGGTAAGAAAAAGGCCAAAAGGGGACCATATGACTTTCTTTTATTTTATCATTGCATTTGATTATGATTGCATTGGTGGGGTCGTTAGCTCAACCTCCTCTTATCTTGTTATTATTATTATTTTATTGTTTTAGGGTTTAGGGTTGAATATGTTGCATTGCATTGCATGTCCTCACCACTTCACCCGCAGATTTGGTAGCCACTCAACCTCAAACGCATCGCCTCACCTGCCCACTCTCTCTCATCTTTACACGCCACAATCTCAGCACGTGCTTCGCGCGTGCGAGGCAACCGCTCGCTTCTCCACGTCCCTTGTCGGATAGAACAATCCAAGATGTCGTCATAATTTCCACACTCTTTTGTTTTGGTCAGAAATTTCCACACTATTTTTATACAATTTTGGAATTTAAAAATGTTAAATTAGTACCAGAAATAGATGGGGAAAATAAAAACTAACCGCTTCCCGCCATCCTGGACAGACCCCGACAGACATGTCTTATGCATTTCTACTTGTTTTTGAGTTTGGTTTACCGTAGTTAACTCTATTAAAAAAAATTAATTTAAATACTCCGCTAATAATGACGGAGGAAAAATTTACCATCAGACACACACAAAAAGTAACCTCAATTTAGTTTGCCAAAGTTAAGAGAGAGAGGATTTTTTCATATGTAGTGCTATGTGACGAGAGTTTAAACTTAAAATTAATGTCTTGTCCTTTCACATTGAGCTAAATTCAATTATTTAACAAATGACATCTTTTGAATAAGAAGAAGATAATAGGTATTTTTTATGTGTAGGAATACAAACTATATTTTGAATCGAAAGACGTATTCGCTTTAGTCAATTTAGTTTGCGATTTTCGAGATAGAGGTGGTTAGAGCGAGGATTAAGGATAACAATAGGTCATCCCCTAATTATTGAAAGGGTTATTACATCAAACTTAAAAAATAATATCTGAAAAACAGTCACTCACTTAACACACAGCGACAGTAAAAACTGTTGTTTAAATTTTTTACCCTAAACCAAAAAAAAAGAAGAAGAAAAAGAAAAAGAAAATAATGGTATACTGTACTTTTAAGCGTTGTTGACAGGGAGGGAGGGAGGGAATCTTGACGTCTAAGCTAGAAGAAGAAGAAGGATGTTAGGTGTGCTGGCAGGTTAGGTGATTTTGACCACAAAAACGATGGAAGGGCCTGCATCTCCTTCTTCAACGCAATCACAACGGCAGCGTTTGGACGAAGCTAGGGTTTCAGAGATGGAGATTCAACCTCCACTGACCAACCAAGACACCTCCACCGTCTGGGACTGGGGAGATCTCCTCGACTTCACCGTCGACGACGACCTATCGATCTCGTGGGGCTCCGTCGAGATCGACCCGGCTCCGGCTCTGGAAGAACTGCCGGAGGATCCGAATTCGAATTCGGGTCGGGTAAGGAAGCGCGACCCGAGGCTGGCGTGCACCAACTTCTTGGCGGGTCATGTCCCGTGCGCGTGCCCCGAGATCGACGAGAGGATGATGGAGTTGGAAGAGGAGGAAGCCGGGCATGGAAAGAAGCGGGTCAAGACGGCTCGGGCCCCTCCTGGGACGGCCCGGTGTCAGGTTCCGTCTTGTCGTGCCGACATTAAGGAGCTGAAGGGGTACCATCGGAGGCACAGAGTGTGCCTTGCCTGTGCAAATGCCAGCACTGTCTTTCTTGACGGTGAGACCAAGCGTTATTGTCAGCAGTGTGGCAAGTAAGCTCAATTTTAAGTTGATTTTCAATTTCAGAGATAGTGATTTTATCTTTGCGTTAGTTATAGTTTAGCAATTTTGTATTAGTAATCTTCAAAGCTGTTAGTAAGTTCACAACTTAGCATTGGCAATTACCCAAGTTTTTTTTTAGGAAGCTTTCGGATAATTTGGATTAAGCTAGCTTCACAGTTCCTGGGTTGTGATTGTAATCTTATATGACAATCAATTTTATGCTTTTACGTATAAGGTTACTTTGCACTTGTTAACTCTCCAAAATGCAGAGAAGGGACTGTTTAGAAGCAATTCCAACAGTGTCAACGTAGTTAATATTTGGAAGGTTGTCCCCCTACTCCACTCCGTTCAGAGAAACTCTCCACCTACGTGCCCTCTGTCCTTACGGACCCCCTAGGGAGATCGCTTCTCTCCCACCTCTGAGAAGGTGCTTCTCTACTAAGGGTGGGGCCCCAATATTGGGGCCCACCATTAAGGGTATATCTCTTCCTTAAAGATTGGGATGAGTTGATGTCGGTAGATGGTGTGAAAGCACTTCCTGATCTGGAGTCTTCACGAACACAGTAGAGAGGTTTAGTTACTCAGTGTTTAGGGTTAGATAAATTTGTACTTATATATGCAAGTTCAGTCGTGAAAGAAGCACATGATATTCTTAACTGGGAATTTATTTGAATTTGTTGGGTGGAATATGTTTCCATGGCTATATTTTTGCTTTGGGTGATGGGAGCTGGAGAAGTTTCCCTAGGAAGTGACAAGTGTATAGGGGTTATGCCATCTAAGAGTTCTGGTGTTGGACAATAAGGAAATATAGGAAGAAAAGAGAGATCCACTCATTCTGGCCTCCACACCAAAGGGAGTCCAATTTAATTAAAAAAGTTCCGGCATCACACCTGTGTGTGCCTTGGAATCACTCCAAGTCAACCTGTGCCTCACACACAAGGAGGAATTCGCAAGAAATTTTTCTTTCACTAACTCTGATCCTAAAAGCTTACAGAGTAGGCCCTTTCATTGGGTAATTGGTACATGAATCTGGAAAGATCCACATTAATACACTTAGGAATTCTAAAGACATAGTTAGAATCTAAAGTTTGTTTTTTTTTGGGGGAAAGTAACAGAATAATTACATGTGCTCTTCTTTCTGTGGATAACATGTATCTTTTAATGTTTGGCTGATTTGTTTTAAGGGTCTTTTATACATAAAGATAGATGTTGAGAAAAGTGAGACAACCCCTATTAGCAATTTAGCACATTGGAGATGTTGAATGGCTTGCAGCTGTCATTGGCTGTAGGATAAGGTCACTGCCTACGTTTAGCTCTTTCTTTAAGTTCTTCATAAGCCATAGGCATTTTGGATTCCATACTGCTTGTCTTTGTAGTGAAGACTGGCGGGTTAAAATAAGTAATGCTTTTCAGAGGGAGTTTAGATTGGCAATAATTATTAGTGTAATGAGTCATTGTACTATCCAGAAGATTTGTCGACCTGGGATGAAGAGAAAGTTGTAACACTGTCACATTTCTGTTTTATTGAGGGACTGCACGTATTATTTTTGTTGAAGTGTGCTGGAATAATTTTAATATTGCTTTTGTAATTTCGTTTCTGCTTGTGCTCCAAATCTTTGGCAGGTTCCATGTCTTATCAGATTTTGATGAAGGTAAGCGGAGCTGTCGAAGAAAACTAGAGCGTCATAATAACAGACGACGAAGGAAACCTACTAATTCCAAAGGAGGGATTAGAAAGGAATCTCAAAGGGAAATTCAAATTGAAGATACCAATTGTGATGGTGGAGCAGGAGAAGGTATTCAGTGTTTGTTTTAAAGCAACCAGTTTGTAAAATGAGCAGTATAGTTGTTTTTCCTTCCTAGAAAAAGAGTCTACTGATCCAATTTGTATGCATAATGTACAGACAGTATACAGTTAGGCAGTCAGTTAAATGACAAGGAAGAATTGCCAGAGTCTGAAGGTGGACGTATTTCTACCCTCAGTTCAGTGCCTGATTCCCAGATTGTCCATAGTGATGGTGGTGCATCTCTGGTAGCTTCTGGTGAAACCCAAATGGATGGAAGAAAACATGATTCTAACAACTCTCTTTCTCCGCCAAATTGTGATAAAAGTGCCTACTCTTCTATGGTGGGTCTTTGCTGCCTGGTTAAAACTGATCTTTATGTGAGGAGATATAATTGAGATGTACTGATTTGATACATACTTGTAGTGTCCGACAGGTCGCATCTCATTCAAACTCTATGATTGGAATCCAGCAGAGTTCCCTCGAAGACTTCGGCACCAAGTATTATTAAAAGATTGTTATTACAGTTTAGTATATAGAGTGAGAATTATTTTAATAGAAATATGTCAGGACTTGGATTAACATGTGGGTAAATGTGTTTACAGATATTCCAATGGTTGGCCAGTATGCCGGTTGAGTTGGAGGGGTATATCCGCCCTGGATGTACTATCTTGACTGTTTTTATTGCAATGCCAAAGTTTATGTGGATGAAGGTAATGATGTCGGTAATCTTATTTGCAAGATCGATATTCAGTTTGTCAAAGTTTTCTTCTTACCTTGACTTTACAAATTTTGTTCAACAACTTTGGTTTTGATCATGTGATGGTTTTGCTCAGTTACTTGAAGATCCTGTATCATATGTACATGACTTTGTTGTTGTACCTGGAAGGATGCTGTCTGGGAGAGGCAATATACTTGTTTATCTAAATGACATGATTTTCCGTGTTGTGAAAGGTAATCTGATGCTCCATAGCTGTGTTGTATTTCTATTATTTTATTAATTATGCTGTAAAATATGACGTAAATTAATTAGCCTCTGCATTTATTTGATGATCCATCTTTACATATTGCTGTTAAAAGATACAGATCTCAGAATAATTCTTGTTTGCAATCTTTCCATGAGATGTAAATGGATGTACAGAACTAAACAAAATTTATGAAATTATGTTGGTCAGAATCATCAATTTGTGTCGGTTGATCTTAGATTTTGGGTATAAACAGCAGTTTGGGAGTAGAATTTCTGACAAATTTTCATGTTTCCTGGTAGCAGGGGTCGGTATCTGTTTTTTTTTTTTTTTTTTTTTTTTTTTTTTTTTTTTTTGGGTGGGGGGGGTTTTCTATTTTCAATTAAATTATGATGCTTATTTTCATTTTGGTATGCACAGATGGGACTTCTGTAATAAAAGGGAAAGTTGAGATGCGGGCCCCAAGGCTTCATTACGTTCATCCTAGATATTTTGAGGCAGGCAAGCCCATGGAGTTTGTTGCCTGTGGAAGTGATTTATTACAACCCAAATTTCGGTAGGACTTCCTTTCAGGATTTTCCACCTGTTGATAGTAGTTTATTGTGTTGTATTTTGATTCGGCCCCTTTCAGCTCTGTTGTTTTGAATCATGTATTATTATGATAAGATAGCTTGTCATGAACACGACATTTCCTGTCAACTGTAAGACTACATTATAACGGAGGGAGGGGAAACTACTTGGTGACACTCTCAAGAGTCTACATAGACTTGTCACTAGTACATAATAGCTACTGTTCTTTGTTGGTCCTAAAGTGTAGCACGCATAGTGTGATCTTGGAAGTGCCAGAATATATTGATCAGAGATGTATATCAATTATGGCAGATCTGTAGTTGTCTGATGGCACTTGCTGATTACTCTTCTGATTTATCCAAATAAAATAATTCTGATTAATTTAAAGTTTTGCAGTCGGGTGTATGTTCTATACTATTCTGTTTACTTGTTCCATGTATGTAGAGAGCAGAATTATTGTCAAGTAAGTTGCCTAATAAAGAACATTATGGTGACAGGTTTCTTGTATCCTTCTCTGGAAAGTATCTGGCATATAATTACTATCCTGAATCTTCTCCTAGTCAGATTGAAGGAGACACTGCTACTAACTTAGACCATCAATTATACAAGATACATGTCCCTCAGACTGAAGCAAATTGTTTTGGTCCTGCATTTATTGAGGTAAATTTTCTGGGCTCTTTTCTTTTACCCTCCTTATGGTGTATATTCTTGTCTGATCATATCTCCAGACTCCAGCGATCATAATAGTGTTGTGGTATTCCATCATTCTGACTAAAGTAAAGATGTTATGATATGCATAGTGTTGCTTGCATGGGTGTTTGACCATGTATCTGCAATGCTGATTACTGATATGTGTCAAACAATTGATATTCACTATGCAGTAAACCCTTTTATGACCAGCGATTTATAAATTTGATATGCAACTTCTTTGATTGGTTAATGCATTGATGAGAATTGTTGGTCTTGAAACATGGTATGTAGACAACTATGTAGCTATTGCTGATAACATTAGCCATAAGCTATATCTGTGGACTGGAATCTGCGATAGGTATACGGAAAATAGTAGGATTCATATAGATACAGTTGAAATTTGAGGTTCACATGGAGACAGAAGCATATTTACAAAAGCATTTTAAAGCATGGTACTTGGTTTTTAACTTGCCAGGATTTTCTTTGCCTCATAGTTTATCATTGGATGAATCTATATTGCAGATTGAGAATGAATCTGGCTTATCGAACTTTCTACCCATACTCATCGCAGACAAAGAGGTTTGTGCAGAAATGAATACTATTCAGAAGAGATATGAAGAATCTTTCTCTTTGCAAGGATCACGCTTTTCTTCTAGTGGTTCTCTATCAGACTCTTGTGAAGCATCTTCCCTGGGACACACAGCTTTTTCTGAAGTTATTTTAGATATAGCATGGTTACTTAAAAAGCCCTCATCAGAAAATTTTCAACAGATCATGACTGCTTCACAGATCCAAAGATTCAACTATTTATTGAACTTTTTGATATCCATTAAGTCAACAACCATATTGGAGAAAGTTTCACAAAATTTGAAGACTCTGATGGATAACATGGAGTTACACAGTGCAAATGATGGCACCAGTGATGCTGACATGAGGCTCTTAAAGAATTACATGGATTATGCCCATGATCGTCAAAAAATTGACAACTCAGGGGTTTTAGTACCATGGTCTGGAAGATTGGTGCAAAAAGAGGATATTGTTTCTCAAAGTCAAAGCTGCTTTCAGAATGTCGGAAATTTGGTTGTTCCGTTACAATGTCAGGTGAGAACTTCATTCAATTTTGGTATGGTGATTATTTCTGATATTTTGTTTTTTTTTTTTTTTGTTTGGGGGGGGGGGGGGGGGGGGGGGGGGTGGTGGTGTGGTGGGGATTGAAAGGATTAATAAATCTGCTTTTAAGTTAGCTTTGGTTTCATATACATTTTACTCATTAGCAATTTAACATTCATCTGGTAGTCTGGTAGTTCAAATTCCAACTTTTTAAGAAGAAAATATTGTGGTGAGGCATTGCATTCCTGGTAATTTAACTATTTTTATTTCTGACAGGGCTTTTCTTTTCTTTTTATTTTAGTCCAAAAAAAGTTTTGAGTTCGAACTTGTTGCTTGCATGTCATTTCATTAGTTGTTATTGCCGTACTGATTTTTCTTATAAGCTGCCCTGCTTTCTTTCCCTATCACTTTGGGATCTGAAATACTACTTCTACAGTCAACTAGTGAAGGATTTATTTGATTCTAACTGTTTGGCTACGTTGTGGTTAAGCGCATGACAACTTGTCTTTTCCTCCCTTTCGCTAAATTAAAATGTACAGTTCTATTTTGGCCATCTAAGATCTTATAACTAGTTGTGTTATTCACCATCACATTTGTCTGTAAAATGTTTTCGTACTTCTTATAGCTAGCAAGAGATATCCAATTGAGGGTAGGGCGGTCACTAATTGTACATAATTTACGTACTTGTTATTTTCTGTACTCTTATTTGATAAATTGATACAAGTTTTGTTCCGTTAATTGTTATGTAATATTATGCAGGATACGGAGATAACTGTGGATGGTAGGGTGGATGTGATGGTTGGTTCAACTTCTCATGAGAGAAGTGAAACTGTTCCACTCTTGAGTAAAAAAGCAGTCATGAAAGCTAGCCTGATCAAGAAATGGCCAAGAGTGGCTAACTGGTGCACTTCTGGGGAGGTCTCAATGTGCCGCTCTAGTGGGGTGTTCTTGAGATTTCGCCCTGCACTTTATGTAATTTGTGCTGCAGCTATCTGTTTAGGATTTTGTGCAGTCCTCTTTCATCCTCACAAGGTTAGTGAATTTGCAGTAACAATGCGCAGATGTTTATTTGACAACTTTTAGATGTTTTAGTTTGTTTTTTTTTCCCTTAGAATGTATTCCTCAGTCCCTTAAATCTGTAAATATATATCTATATATATTATGTCTCCGTTGTGCACTACTTTCTAATATTAGATTAAGACAAGCCGCCAAATTTTTTTTCGTCACCGAGCTGTTCTTGCTGCAAGCATAAATTCTGAGTACTGCCTCCGTCAAGTAGCATTCTGTTTTCGGGTGCTGTTCTTGCTTGAAGCATAAATTCTGCGTATTGCCTCTGTTTAGTCACATTTTCTGGACTATGTTTGCCTACGGCCTTTGAGATAGTAATTTTTATTTTTATTTTATAAGAAAATGAATTTGCTCGAATTTTAATTTTAATTTTGGTAATGCATTATCGGCGGGGGCTGATGTTCCAGTTGCATTGTGTATTCTATTGTTGTAATGTTTAGATATAGATTTGGTGTTGTGCTTGAGTAATAAAAGAGGCCTGGTTTCCTGATCGAATTCCTTCTAAATTGTAATTTGTAATGTTATGAAATATTGGGTTTCATGCTGCCTTTATTATTATTATTTTTTTTCGATTTTTAATTTTAATGAATACCCTAAAACAATTCAAAACTGTCCATTAATTAATATTTTTTGCAAAATTGATAACAATAATAATTTGAACATATTTTCTTTCAAATTTCAGTATATATTATGTGCACGTTTGAATGTTGAGGTGTGTGAAAAGGCAAAATCTTGTGTGTACACATGATGCCGGTTATGCAACTGCTTGTTATTTATTCATTTATTTTATCCTTTAAAGATTTCAAAGTATTCCTTTTCAACTGATGCGATGCTGCTCATCTGCCCCATCAGCAACAGAAACGATGAAGATATTTGTGGTGTTTTCAAATCAAGGGCCACATGATATATTTTAATTTAGAACAAAATAGTTAGCAACTTAAGCTAGGTTATCCACTAATTGACAACGAATTCCACCCCCTTTGATTTTGATTGTCTATTGTCTATTGTCTATTCACACAAACAAAACCTTTTTCTTTATTGATATTCTGTTGAGGGGTAAAAACCAACCAAGTATACCTATTCTCTTATTAATTGCATTTCAGTTTTCTTGTTCAAGCATATCTTAAGGTGTTCGAAGAACTAGAATTTTCATGGAAAGCCAAACAAATATTAAACGAGAGAAAACAGGTATGTCATAAGACGATGTAGCACATAAACAACTGGTTTCAGATTCCACCAAGCTCAAAATAAGAATTTTGCAATTATATTTTGTCAACTTAGAATGGAAAAAGTGATCATCTTTCATGAAACCAACCATGAACTTCGGCAATAAGGTCGTCCTGGGACACATCCTCAGGAAGGTCTATGTCCAAGGATTTAATGGCAACCTCAGCACAAGCCTTTCTCTTCATGCTCACATAGCTCTGAGAGTCCTTCCTGTTCCCTACAATCACTACTGCCAGTCCCGGAACCTAAACCATTGATTGATTGCATAATTGCATTGTTAAAATTCATCCACTAAATAAATAATTACAAAAATTAATTCAGATAGATGGAGCAAAAAAGCAAACCTTGCCATATTTCTGGGAGAGATGGCGGACTTCCTCTGCAATTTCGTTTCGGATAGTCATTGATCAAACACTCACTCTCTCTCAGTCTTGAAGAGATTAGGGTTTACAATGACAATGGATTTACTGCACCCATAAAAACCCTAAATTAGGATTTACAGTGACAGTGGGTTCGATCGACTGAGAGAGCTGAGGTGAGGTGAGTCCGAGAGTGAGACTCTCTCGGTTGTTTTCGAGTTCGATCAGGTGCGGAAGGGTACATGTAACTGCTTCCAGGTTGCCACTAATGCGCTGACACGTACGTATAGCCGGGCGGCCATACTATTTTTTATAATAAAAACCGTAGTATCGCCGCTGGGCTATACTATTTTGTAAAAAGAAAACAACATCGTCTAGCCGCCCGGCTATACTATTTTATTATTAAAAAAATCCGAGTATAGCCGCTCGGCTATACGAAAAGGTACCCGCCCGGCGTCTAGCGCCCATTTGCCACATGTCAAAAATTTTATAGCCGCACGGCTATATTAGTTTTATTCCCACGTATAGCCGCTCGGCTATACGATTTATAAAAATAATAAAAAGGACCGCCTGGGCCCTAGCGCCTTTTCAATCCCTGCAAGCTATAGGATGCCATGTTGATGGAGTTTGCCCCAAGAAAAAAGCTGGTGATATCTGCACAACTGCTGTCCATGATTTTGAAGGTGATCAAACCTACAGTAAGAAGCCAGGCCACAATTTCACTTTAACAGTTGATTTTGATACTATTGATGTCTCAAGTTACGATGCTTTTCTAATCCCTGGAAAACCATCCATCTGCCATGGGCAGCAGATTTTAGCTGCTGCTGGTGTTCTGCAGGTAAGGTTATCGACATAATAATTTAAGAGCAATTCTCCAATTATGTACATAAAGTGGTATCAGAATGAAGATTTTATTGCAAAGTCCAAAAGCAACCACCTTGAAGTTTTGCTCTGTTTGTTTCTGATTCTTCTGATTTATGGTGAATTTACTTATGTGCACATTATGAAGTTTTTAGCATGCCCTAATTGTTATCCACTGCCTACATTTATAGGGAAAGAAATGCACTGCATGCCCAGCAGTGAAGCTTAATGTGGTTTTTTTCGGGAGCAACATGGCTGGAGCCTGATCCAATAGATCGTTGCTTCACTGATGGAAATTTGGTTATTGGAGCAGCGTGGCCGGGTCAGCCGCTTGCATGTGATATACTTAATTCATGAAAGATTAAGACAAGGATGATATGCTGCCTTTTGTATCAATGAGGGACCAAGTAATAATCTGTTTTTGATCTGTATTTGCCATGTTCCATGCAAATAAGTTCTGTCTCGCCTGCGAATCCCCATCCTGATATGAGATTGCATGCTATTCCTAACATAGGCAATGAATATCGTGACTATTGGGATAACATATTCAAATGCCTATTACTTGTGCCTTATATTGAAATTTTGATTTATCACTCACCGAAGTGTCCTTTTCGTTTGTTGCTGCATCTAGAGTGTATTTTTCACATGATATTAGATTTTCATTTCTGGGAATTACCAATTTATTTATTAAAAAAAACATAGCAGTGAAGGGAAAAATAGAAGCAAGAGGGCCTATTCATCACGTCACTCCTTATCTTCTCAAATATTTGATTTTCAGAGTTGAAGACTAAACAACGCTATTCGATGTTCCTGTGACCAATTATATGTATATAAAAAGTCCAGAAATTGGTCAGTCCAGCACAAGTAATGGTCCAAGTCTCAAGTGGTATATCACGTTTCTAGGTTTATCCTGCGTTTTTTTTTTGACAGGACCCTTGCATTGCAACTCAATCAAACTAGACTTACCTTTCAATGCATTGAATTTTGATCCAAATCTAATTCGAATAGGGTTTAGGGTTTAGCTGTGTTTACACCATAATCAACCGAGCATATCCAGCATCAAAACGACTAGCACCAATGCAGACACGCCTTCTTCCTTGTCGAAGGAAGACACTCTTCCGAAGTGGCAGACACCTGCCGAAGCTCCCGACTGTTGAAGCTCTCGACTGCCGAACCTAATCTCCAAGGACACGTGTCACCACCACAGCAACTTGCACAAAGTCCCACATCGAAACTTTGTGCAAAGCTCCCATTTTCACTTCCCTATAAATAGGGAACAGTACTCGAATAAAAAGGGTAACTACTTTCTCACATTTACTGTTACTCTGCCAAATTTACCACTCATAGCTGACTTAAGTATCGGAGAGCCTTCGGCAGGCACCACATCGGTGTCCGAAGCTTGACGACTACTTCTTCCACTTTGTCTTCTGCAGGTTCTCCCCATTCCAAAGGTCCTCACCTTCTCCCCTGCTGAAGACTATCCACTTCCACTTCTCTCTAAATTGACCCACCCCAAAAAGAGCATCAACAAACTGGATTCTTGGTATTGGTGGTGGTGGGCTTAATAGATATGTGCATGAATGTTAGTTGGGAGTGGATTTTATTATATTACGGTCTGCGTGTGTTTAGAAATTTAGAGAGAGAGAGAGAGAGAGAGAGAGAGAGAGAGAGATGGAAAGAAAAGAAAAGGGTGTGGTAAGTGAGAAAAAAGCAAGAAGGATCATCAATGGTGAAAAAGTTGAAATGCGGTGTATTGGTAGGGAACATAAGAGGGCTTTGTAGCACACCACCGCCAATTTGGAGACTTGACGAGTTTTACTATCAGCAAAACAACAACAACAAACCCAGCTCTGAATTTCTCCCACAACTCTTCGGAATTTTACAAGTTTTATCTTTGTAATTTCATCAAGTTTTGGGATCAGATGACAATTTTTCGAAATTTTAAGACGATGGTGACAATGACAAAGAAGATGGTGATGGTGATGATGGATCTGGGTAGGGGTGGTGGCTGGGAGTGTGGTACGGTTAGAATATTCTATTTATAGCGTATAGTCGGGCGGCTATACTTACAACAAATTCTTACAGCCGGACGGCTATAGTTTTAACATGTTTTATTTACTGTATAGCCACGCGGCTATTCTTAGAATACTTGATTTATATTGTATAGCCGCACAGCTATACCTTTAACGTATTCTATTTCCTTAGTATGGCGGAACTTTTAGAATATTCTATTTATATAGTATAGCCGTACGGCTATACATTTAACATATTCTATTTCCAGAGTATAGCCGCGCGGCTATAAGTTTAGAATATTCTATTTATATAGTATAGCCGCCCAGCTATATGGTTAACATATTCTATTTACATAGTATAGCTGCCTGGCTATACGTTTAGATATTCTATTTATAGAGTATAGCCGTGCGGCGATACTGTTAACATATTGTATTTGTAGAGTATAGTAGCTGTGGGAGCATATATTTTCGTCTCCAATCAGGGCACGCCACGTGGAAAAGAAGATTATCTCTTAAATTAATTAATTGAACTAGTTTATTTGGCCAATTAATTAATTGGGATAAATATCTTAATTAATGAGATATTATCTTTATTTAATAAGATAATACCATTAATTTAGACATTATCATAATAAAGAGAAGATAATATCATTAATTCAGATATTATCTTCATAAAAAGAGATAATATCATTTAATTCAGATATTATCTTCAATAAAGAGAAGATAATATCATTAAATCAGATATTATCTAAGTCCGACTCGATCCCTACGAATTTGGGTAGAGAATAAACTCAGAATATTCTCTACGAAACCCTAGCCCCGAGGCTCCTATAAATAGACAACCTCATTCATCATTCAAGGTACTTCAAAAAGCCCACATCTAAACCTACTCCTAAACCTGAGAAAAATACCTAAAGCTCTCTCTCCCTCTCCACTCTCCATATTTTCACCACACACGGCTTCGGTCGTCCGGTTCACACCATACATAAACTCCGTACCCTTTGCTTAGCTATTGTTTTCCTACAAACACTCGAACTAACTTAGGCATTGGAGGACCTTTGGCCAACACCCTCTGGGTGTGGTCTATTTACTCCAATCTTTTTTACAGGAATTGAGGAAGAGAGAGAAGGAAGATCGAAGGTTGAAGGATCTAGGAGCGAATATTCTCCGGTGAGATTATTTGCACAAACAGTAGCGTAGCTATACATTTAGAATATTCTATTTATATGGTATAACAGGGCGACTATACTCTATAAATACTTTTTAAATATTCTATTTATATAGTATATTTGCTCGGCTATACTTTAGGTTAGGAGTGGGTATCTCAACTGAAAAATCCACGTACCGACGGGTTCATTTAGTTTGGTTAAATTTTTGTTTTTATTTTTTAATTCACTTACACATGACACTATAAAAACATCATAAAAAGAAGTTATACCACACATCAACACAAAAAAAAAAAAAAAAAAAAAAAAAAAAAAAAGGAAATAGTAGGATAGTGAAAACACAAACAAACCCTACTAATTAACATGTGTCAGCTTCTTCTTCCTTGGCCACCAAGGGGAAAACAAGATAATATAGCTACTAAAAAAACGTAGTATAGCCGCGCGGCTATACTATTTATTAAAAAAAAAAAAGGGACCCGCCTGGCTCCTAGCGCATGCTACGTCACGTGTCAAAAACAATATAGCCGTGCGGCTATAGGCTTGAAGTATATTATATTTAATATGAGTATAGCCGCACGGCTATACTATTTCTTTAAAAAATATTAAAAGAAAATGAATCTAGTCGCATTAGTTTATACTCTATAGATATTAATTTGCTAGTTTTGACATCTTCAAAGCAGATATTGAAAAGAGAGAAATTTCACAGTAAATCAATTTCAGAGTTCCATTTTTTCTTCTTCTATTTTTGTGGGAGTGTTTGCCTTTGGTCTACCTCGTTCTTTCGAATGCTACTAAATTCTGTTACTGTATACATTATTTGTTGTAGAGAATTGCATGCTGAGTTGGAGTGTTCTTGATAATTGCTTCACATTTCAAACAACACTTTAAATGAAGAATACTACCACCTTGCTTACTAGTATACCCATAAATCTTTATTTGAAATTGTTGTTATGGTCGGCAAAGAGTTTGCAAAATTACCATCTTGCATTTTTGTTACAACAAGTAA